GGGCAGTTTTTTTGTGTAATGAGCAAATCCCTGTTTAATAGTGGAGACTTATAATGCAAACAAGCACGAGCGTAATGTATCAATTGAGATACGTAAAGACAAAACGATGGGCGAAGGCACGTTACTGCTAGGAAATGGGAAGGCGACAATATCAAATCTAAAATCATACGTTTGTCATAGATTCTAGTTTGAGATCAATATCATAGAAAAGATCTATATGGAGCATATTTTCTATTTTCGATAGTAATGTTAAGTCCACAGGAATATATTAGATACAAACGCCTACTAAAATGTGGGTTATTGAGTGATAGGACATCTGAAAGTGAAATTTAAGAACTTTGCAAAATGTTTTTCTTTCTTTTTGTCCTTGAGACGGTTTTGTATGGATACTGCTTCACATAATACAAAAAAAGGTGAGCGAGTAGGGTTGCTTCCAATTAGAAGACCGACTGTTTGTTGAAATATTAATCAACCAAATATCCATATTACTTATACTCAATATATTTTTTGGGATGTTTGTAATCTTTATAACTATACAAAAAGTTTAAATCGGATCGTTTGCCTCCTGGTACTTGCCCCAAAAGTACAAATACGCGCGCGAGTAATCCTTAATCTATCCTTACTCAAAGGGTCATTAGCTGTCAAATTCGCGTTCAACGATTTGACTCAAATTTTCATATCTGATTCATAACATACTAAAACGTATTTTCAAATTACAAAAAGTCTAATATAAACAATTAACAATGCATGGACTCGATAATATGTATCAGCATTTCGTGTGTTTCAGTCTAGACGCCATTTAATTAACTATGCCCTCCAAGACTGCGGACGCTATAGCCCGATATAAACATAACTATAAATGTAAATAGATAGCGAGCACGTGCAATTTGATTTTTCTAGGTCTGTCTGATTTCATGTTATAGGTTAAACAAATATGTTAATTATCGCTTTTACCTGTACATGAATGATTTTTTGTGGATTGATTAAGTCAACAAAATGGTTCACTTTTATCTCACTTTCAATGTTGAAATTCTTTTCCTTTTAACAGCTGATCACGACTAGTACATGCGTAATCCATCTCCATCTAAGGTGTAAATTTGAATTGCAAGTCAATGATACATCAGCGATGTTTTGGAGCTTATTTTGACACATTTGGGTCAAACTGACTGCTTATAACGAAATATTATTTCATAATTCCGCCTTTTTAAAAACTTGAAAAAAGTGTGTTTTACATGTCTGTCTAAATCGTAGCTCATGCCGCTTTAAGATATAAACATTATAATCATCTTTATTTAAGACTTTCAAATATGGGTCGATAGAAAGTTTTACACATTTAATAGACACCTGTCTATTTAAAGTCCGTATGTTCACCATAAAACGCCTTTTTTATTCCAGAGTTTTGCAGCTGGCGATATATAGTGAGGGGTAACCCTCCATCCGTTCGTTCGTTCACTCGTTCCTCCCATTATGCTTTTGCTCCTGACAACCTGGCAGCACTTTGTGACACTGTCACATGATCCTAATCACATGATGTACCTGTGCATCTTATTTCATTCCTCACCATACTGGTTTTTGTCATATCTGCATACTACAGGGCACATTTGTATTTTCTTTTATGCTTTATCTCTGGTGAGAAACCTCACCATATCAAGTCATTGATTTTTATCAGAATAATTTCCCGGTTTACTTTTGAAATGCCGTTACTTTATGTGGAGGATGAGGCCATAATTTGTTCCAGTTTTTGTCGTGGAAACTCTAGAGCTTCTTTTTGGTGTTTATGTCTTATTAACATATGACTCACATCTCCTATTATTCGAAAATTTAATTGAATATATTGCTTTCATTAATCTCTTGTATGGCACATTAATGCTCTCCAACTTCGTACTTTATTTTGCCTTTTATCTTTGGTGGCTTTTTTTATGATAACTCCTCAAAGATACCAGGCTTATAGTTTTGTACCCCAAACGCGCGTTCCGTCTACAAAAGACTAACCAGAGACGCTCAAATAAAAAAAAAATTATAAGGCCAAATAATGTTATGGGCCAAAAACTACCAAAAAATAACCAATACTGGGTCGACATCACAACTAGTGTACTATGAGTCATCAAACGTCACATCCGCCTAGTAGCCAGCGCTTCAGTGTTGTCATGATATAGAGGATAATTTTCGTCTGCCAATTTCAAGTTAATAACATTGTGTAATCATTACAAGGACAAGGAAGCGACTTTCTCAGGTAAATTTGACCTTAGTCGGCTTTAGTTGTTTTGTTTTGTTTTTTGTTTTTGTGCTCTCAAACGTTTCGTATTTTTGGCTTTTGAAACCTTTGTTGATGGTTATTAAGGAAACACGTAATGCAAATAAAGTAATCATATGAAATGTTTTAACTACCGCAGGATTAATACCGCTACGGATTGAATATCAACCCCAAATGAAGTCATCCGTCTAGTGGCCAGAGGTTTGGTGTTGGTATAATTTTGGCTGAAAATGTCTAGTATATATTGGAGAAAGTTTGATGAGAACAACTGTTCGGCCCATTGAAATCGAAAATCAAAAATGTATTATAAATCTACTGGATATCAAACATTCTTTGTGTGTTCATATAATATTAGTCTGTTGGACATCAGTATTTTCGTTTTTAGAGGTAAAGGTGAACACATTAATCCGGATTTTAATATTGAGAAAAATTAAAAAAGTTATAAGTAGTTTATAAAGATCCACAATGTCACAATACACGCGTCTACAGCCACTTCTATGTGTTATTAATAGAAACTCCCAGATTTTGATAAATTTTGAAAAACTGTATATAAGCTATAAAATGAACCACGGTTTCTTACTTTTCGATGTTGAACACCTCTTGTGTAAATGAAAATAACACTATAAATTTTGTGCGTCCATTGTGATTTTCTAGATTCAATAAAAAAAATTGAATTTAAAAGATCTGATGTCTGAGACAAAACACCACTAAAATCCCACATAAAAAAACAACATGTATTGATATCGACAGAGAGGTTATTTAATTTTAAATGAATGGGTACAAAAAAATCTCTTTTGCTCAATATAAATAAGAAAGAAAACCATATACCATGTATATACGTCATTGGTGAAACAGTAATGTTAAAATACAAAACACAAACGGCAAAAAAAGACGACTAAAAAACAGCACACACAAAAAAAAAAGAAGACATCTTGAGGTCAAAATACGCTTATCTACAATAGAAAAGTCTGATTTGTGCTGATCTGTCGGTTCTAAGAGAGCTATTAGCAGGGATTCGTATCAATTAACAAGCTTAAGGCAGGGACCTATACCACTTAATAAAATCCCGAACGCCTTCAATAGTTGTGCATTATTAAATAGGAACGACTGAATATAGGAGAGCATGTTAGACTGAAAATGAACAAACAAGGGACAAAAGGGTACATTGTAACTATTCTAACTATGGTTAGAATGTGTGTTCTTAATAAACTTCACATTGCTAAAATAAATGAATGGAATAACAAATCCAAATATACATAAACAGGAGGATACAACATACAGAAAGTCCGATATTTGTTTTACACGCTTCTAAAACAAAACTAGTATTAAAAGAGGGATAACTCCGCTTTTTACGTCAGCAATAACGGCTAAGGATGTTCGCTACTTTGTTTCAAAAAACCAAGCTTTAAAAAAAACCGGTTATAAATTGAAAGTGTTTATATATAATGGAACTAAAAAGCAGAAAAAATTTCCGTGTCCTTTTTTTTGAGATATATGCCATTGAAAATGTCGGGGGAAATGATTTTCTCTAGATTTTTCATACATTCATCATTGACACTTCTTTTTTCTTTCAAAGGCCAAGAAAACATAACAAGGATTTTATTAGATTTTCAAAAATGGCTTTTAAATTATATGTAATAAAATTATGAGAAGAACAGTAGGAGTTAGCGGGCAAAATTTCTAATGACACCACATGGAAAAAAATAAAGAAATCCGATCCTGACAAAAAGTCAAAAATAAGATAAGCGAACATCCTTAATTCTTAAATGAAATAAGTTGTGGGGAATGCGATTTATGATATTTTCACTCGCATAATTTTATAATTTTGTTGTCAGACTGAATATGTTCTGTATTGTTAACATCTGATTGATATTATTTGGTCATTTTCCTTTATTTCAGAATCTATAAAATAAGAACAAGATTCATAGATATTACTAAGGATATCTCACTAACGGTTTGTTAACATCAGACTAATAGAATTGGTAAAAATTTGTATATTTTGAATTAAATGGGTTTATCTGGCTCAATCACACCTTCTCCTTTGAAAAATAAGAATATAAAAACCTTCAAAAATCGAGAAAAAATATTGTGATAGGTACTTTTTCTTAAAGTCACTTGTTTCTGGATACTGTTTTTAAAGGTGAGTTATTGAAGCTTGTCCACTTAACCCTCCTTTTCTTGGAACTAAGGAATTCTAAAATACATATACCAAGAAATTGCATATTGCTTCTAGAAACTTTGGTCCAACGCGTATTTAAAAGAGTGACAAAGCCACCTATAGTTAAATGATTTTTTTTTGCAGTTGTCAGTTTTTTCACATCATCAAAAAATGTTGTTGACTAAGTCAAGTCCAGAACGAAGTCAATTGAAGGTGTTTGTTTTACTTGTATATAACGCTTAGGTACCTGTGAATTGTGCAATTAGTTAGTATTCGGACCAACGATCTCGGAAATGAAGAATAGTCTCGGGTTTCTGAGTAAGTTAAATGCCTTTTATACGTATTACTAGCAGCATGCCTTCCAAGCGAATAAATGTGTTTTTTTTTAATTAATTTTGTGTATTGCTTCATACATTTATTGCATTCTCATTTCCTATAGGTTTAATAGATTGATTCATTCATTGGTCTTCAATGTGTAGACAGGCTAGGTGATACAGAAGTTCGACTACTTATAGCAGTCTGAAACAGAGGCCCCTGTAATAGAAGAAAGAGCGGGATTGTAAAGAAAAAACATATGAAACACTGCTTTATTGAAGACAAGTACATTTAAACGTTTGATTTCCAATCTTCATCTTCTACCTCAATATAGACTCTGACGCAAAAGTGTGCAGAAATCGCTTTAAACGCATCTCCTGGTTCGTGCATAATGACTCTCAGGTTCTGTAAAAGAGGTTTGAATAGTTTTTAATTACTTACAAAAATAATTATTACTTCGTCTGTTTTAAACAATGACAACCCTGAGCCCATGTCGATATATGAAATAAACACTTTATAAATTTCGTACGTCCGAAGCGCTTTTTTTATTTACCTTCATCAGGAATGCTCGAACCTAAACATTTGAAAGCTAGTGATGCGTAAATACGCTGCAACACTAGAAGATATATAGATATAAGAAGATGTGGTATGAGTGCCAATGAGACAACCCTCCATCCAAGTCAAAATTTATAAAAGTAAACATTATAGGTCAAAGTACGGCCTTCAACACGGAGCCTTGGCTCACCCCTAACAGCAAGCTATAAAGGGCCCCAAAAATTACTAGTGTAAAACCAAAAATATGACCAAATTGATAAGTATAATATCATTATTCAGCGGTCAAGTATATTTGTCGATGAATGAATTAAACACTTTATAACTTTCGTGCGTCCGAAGTGCCTTTTTTAATTCACCTTCATCAGGAACACTCAAACCTAATCATTTGAAAGCCCCGGATGCGTAAATACTCTAAAACGTTAGGAGCTATATCACCAAAAGTATACACAGAGAACGTATTTTAACTTCCCTTAACAGTTTCACTTATTTTAAGTAATATAACAAATCTAATACTTACAATTTTACTTGATCCTTCCGAATGAAAAGTCTTTTCGCTTACGACGTGATATCCTTTGACCAATACATGGTCAAAAATATATCCATCGTAACCTTCTAATTCGTACCTTTCCTTTACATAGTCATCGGAGAAACAGTATGTACAGCTGGCATATTCGCCAGAATAGGATTCGCTGATTGGATCACGGAATTCTGCCATCTTAAATACATCTATTGAATACGGAAACTGGGATGCAACTTTTCCTTTAGTCAATATCGGACTTGTATTCAAACATCCAGCTATAATGGCATTCTTGGATTCACTAGTCTTCTGTGTGAGACATTTGGCTTCTTCTAAGTTCTTTTCTTCGTACGAATGTGTCGTTTCTGTAACTTAAAAAAGTACTAAAACATTACAAGAAAACCATTATATTTCAAAGAGGGCCGATTACACCTGAATGTATTTCAAGCCAGAGCCATTTTCAAAAAGTCTTGAAATCTTTATTCATAGTACCGGTATCACATTTCCATGTGTTTATTTAAAGGTTTTGCATGCAATATAATGTCTATATCTGAACAGATCCATGAATCAGAAACCCATGAAGAAAACCTTAAACATCGATTTTGACCGATTTTAGAAATTTGACTGTTGTGCTGTAACACCACTGTCCTATGTTAGGGGAGAGTTTAGCGCTCACAAACATGTTTAACCCTGCCACATTCTTTATGGGCCTGTCCCATGTCAGGAGCCTGTTGTTCAGTGGTTGTCGTTTGTTTATGTCTGTCATATTTGTTTTTCGTAAATTGTTTTTTTATAAATTAGGCTGTTAGTTTTCTCAATTGAATTATTTGATATTTTTCATGTCGGGGCCTTTTATAGCCAACTACACTGTATGGGGTCTTCTCAATGTTGAAGGCTTTTTGATGCATCAAATTCCCTAATTGAATATCTATCTCGGTGTTTTGTTTTTCATTCTACCAAACTGTTGCATATATGAGAGGAATGGTATGGTTCCAACACCAAAAACAAAATAGCCAAAATACCTCTTTGTTTTTATTGTTTGTCTGTTTGTTCTCAAACATATCGAGGGATTAAAGAGGAATTAAACAGCTTGACATAAGTTCCACAAAGAATTCAAGTTATTTCAAGTAAAAATAACCTCACGTGTTATTTAGCTTTTCAATGAGATGGACTTTAGACGATTTTTTTGCTAAATTTGGCAATTAACTGTGATCCTTAACAATAACAAATCTGACGAAAAAGGGCGCAATTGATGCCATATGAATACTTACAAAAGAGAGGCGAAAGATACCAAAGTGACATCCAAACTCGTACGTCGAAAAAAAGTGACAACGCCAAGGCAAAAAAAGAAAAAGACAAAAAGACAAAACAACTTACTAAACACAACATAGAAAGCTAAAGACTGAGCAACACGAAGACCCTTAAAAACCGGGGGTGATCTCAGGTTACAACAATAAGTAAGTATATCTCGAATATTTACCTGATTAATTACACAAGAAGGCTTTATATGTCCGATTTTTTATTTATTTATTTTTCCCAATGATAAGCGCTGTTCCTTTTCCTTTTGTGTTTTTTTTTTTGTTGCTGTGTATGTACTGCTTTTGTGTCATGGATGGATACCCAATATCCTTTGTTTTTCGTTGCTCCGAAAATGGAGTAATACGCATGTGAACTTCAAATCTTTAATACACTTACTGTCAATGTACTTATCTCCAAGATTTGGCTGCATTACAGTACATACTACGTTTCCGATATATTCAATCTGCAACAAATAATGTTTAAAGGCCAAATAAAAAATGAGTTCCCATGTCCACCTGGTTGCATACATTTTATCTGCCAAAGTGCAAAAACCAAAACATTTTTTTAAAGCTCACACACATGTTTAACCTCGACACATTATTTATGGTTCTGTCCAAAGTTAAAAGCCTGTACATCAGTGGTTGTCGCCGGGTCATGTCTGTCATATTTTGTTTTTCGTAAATGGTATTGTTATAAGTTCGGCCGTTATTTTCTCGATTGAATTTTTTTGCATTTTTCATGTCGGGGAATTTAATAGCCGACTATACGGTATTTGTTTTTATAATTACTGCTTATACCTTCGACTTTTGAACTGTTGTAGATAAATGTTTCATTAGCAAACTTATCACATCTCCTTATTTTTATATGAGATCGCTAACAAAGCTATTTTCAATATATTTCTATTTCCAAGGGGTATAACTTCTTTAAAACAGTATTTTGGCACTCACCAAAGACCTAGCTGATATCAGCCTTTGATATAAACTTCATAAAATTTCAACAAGAAATAAAGAAGTGAGGATGCTTACAATTCAATGTCCATATAAATTACATTTCAAAGACACATAATTCCTATAAAAATAATATATTAGTGCTGATTTTCGAACTCACTGAAGACATAGCTGATAAAAACTATGATATAAATTTCATAATAATCCAACAATAAATGTAGGTGTGAGAGTACTTACAATTAAATTTTTCATATAATTAATATTTCCAAGGAGCATAACTCTTTTAAAAAAGTTGATTAACACCGATTCTCGAAAATTGTCCAAAATATTGCTGATATAAACCTTTAATGTAAATTTCAAAGACATCAGGTTAGAATTGAACACTTGAGACCGCTTACAATGCAATGTCTATAGAATTTTTCTAAGGGAAATAACTGCTGCAAAATAATTTATCGGCGCTGATTTTTGCACTCGTTCCAAACATTTCTGATATAAACCTTTGATATAAATTTCATAACTTTCCTACAAAAAATGTAGGCTTGTGAGCGCTTACAATGCAATTTTCCACGTATTTATATTTCCAAGGAGCATAACTCCTTTAAACATAGCTGTTTGGAACTGATTTTCAAACTTGTCCGAGACATTGCTGATATAAACCGTTGATATCGATTTCAAAAAACCCCGACAAGAATTGTTGATATCAGAGTGCTTTCAAGATCGGACGGACGTACGCACGTCCGTACTGGCGGTCGGACGAACAGACGGACGGCCGGTAGGTATGTTTATGTCCCCCGCAACACGTCGCAAGGGAGACAATAAATAAGGCAGAAGCCATATATAGCATTAGAATTACAAAATATGTCCAGTAACACTTTCTTTACATTATATCATCGCATTCAGAAATTATGTATTTATTTTACATTGTATCAAAAGTTTACACTCGATGAAAATATATAATTAATTGCATCATCGTTGTTATTGCACTTGTCATGTTTTTGTACACGTGAAATATCAGTGGTTTTCGTTGATTCATGTCTGTCATATTTGTTTTTCGTAAATTTCTTTGGTATAAAGTAGGTCGATAGTTTTCTCAATTGAATTGTTTTATATTTTTCATATGTACGGGTTTTTCTCATTGTTGAAGGCCGTACGGTTGCCTATAATTGATTACAAGCACTTCATTTGATCTTAAAGTTTGTTAGACAGTTGTCTCATGGGCAATCATACCACATCTCCTAATTTGTATATTCACACAAACAATATAAATATTACTACTATGAAAATTGAAAACCATAACCTAATTCCTATCAATGACTAAGTACTGTTTCTTACTTTAACATGAAGAAATCCGTGTCTTACAATTTCGTGTTTATGTGGGAATTCCTCTCTTTCATAATGAGTTATGTTGTGTTTACTTAATAGTAGAAGACCGGTAGGATTAACGGCATATTTTTGTTTAAGGCAATCCATTGCATTTCTTTTCGTACCTAAAACAATGCATGTGATGCAGGTCTCTGATAATTCAAGAAAAACATCAGTTATAGACTTTGTCGGATTTACTTTACAACTTTCTTCCATACAAGCTATATAATCATTTCGGTCGGTTTCGGAATGACATTTCTGATCTTCACACGCTGCCACCTGTTCTACTCCATCCCTGTCGTCATCTGAACATGGCGGATGCGTCGATTCTTCATAGCTTCCTGTCATTGTATCATGGTTGAAGCTAAAGGAGTACGGGAATAATTGCTCTGTACCTTGTACAATTGTGTTGACATCTACGTCGTAGTATATGCCTTGTAAACATACAACATCTGTATCAACTAAACTTGACTTCACTGCATCGGCGACGTAACCCGCCCTGTATTCATAAGGCGAACATACTGTACCAAAACCGTCAAATGGGTTACAGTATTCAGGATACAATTCGGCATTAAATGTTGCAATCTGTCTAACTGTGGTTTCCGCCCTGATCATAGATTGGAGTGAAACCAAGAGAGAAAATAACAGCAGCATTTCTTTTAGGACCATGATTAGATGGCTCTCTGCAATATATTAAATTTGCCTTTTTAAATTTTGTAAATTTAAAACTGAATAACTACAAATAAAACAACATCACATAGTTTCAGGAGGTTTCATAAAGGTCAAATTTATTTAGTCTCTGAAATTTCAAAAAATGTTTTAAAAAAAATCAATCCTTCCAAAATCTTATTAATTTTATTGATTAATAAGTCATTAATGGATTAAGGATGATATAATCTACATCCTTCAGTGCAGAAAAGCCGAGTGTGTTTTCATTGTTGAGTCATAAACAATGTCGAAATTGACATATTTGACCTAAATAGGCATTTTCTCATAGTTTCTGACATAATCAAACACGAGCCACAGCCTATCACGCAATTGAACATCTTTAAATAAAACATCATATAGCAAAATATATTTTAGGTGTTCACAATGGCTAATATGTAAATTTATTATCAATAGCATGTTCTTTAAATCAGTCTATTTACCTTAATCATGTCGACGAACCCGGGCTTGCGTTTTTGGAGTTCGAGCGATTCCTTAGTTTTTGTTTGTTACCTTTATTTGTCTCGTTTTATCGATTTATGAGATTTAAACATCGATAATGTATTGCTGCCTTAATGTCTTAATGTCTTTCGAACATGTGAAGGATGTTTTTGATAAAATTATACTGCACTTTTTGATTTTTAAATTAAGAGGTCATAAGTGGCCTGGTAATACGTTCTCCTTTACACTTCGATTTATTTTCATACTTATAAAAATAAGAATATGTGGTATGATTGCCAATGAGACAAATCTCCACAAGAGACCAAATGACACAGAAATTAACAACTATAGGTCACCGTACGGCCTTCAACAATGAACAAAGCCCATACCGCATAGCCAGCTATAAAAGGCCCCGAAATGACAAATGTAAAACAATTCAAACAAGAAAACTAACGGCCTAATTTATGTACAAAATAATGAACGAAAAACAAATATGTTACACACCAACAAACGACAACCACTGAATTACAGGCTCCTGACTTGGGACAGGCACATACAGAATGTGGTGGGGTTAAACTCGTTTGAAGGCGCCAACCCTCCCCTAACCTGGGACAGTGGTGTATCAGTAGAACATAAGAACAAACTATAAAAATCAGTTGAAAAAGGCTTAACTCATCAGATGGATACAAATAGAAATACATCTAACAAAAACACAGAGCGGATGTGGACGGGTACTTTCACACAACAGAAAGACACTAAGTACAGATCTGAGAGTACTCGCAGTTACTGACAGCTAGTTCAAAACAACTAATGAAAAAAATTTACCAGTAATACATAGATTACGTTCATTGAAATCAAAAACGTTACAACAGACACGGGCATAGCGAACGAGTTGTGATATATAAACGCCGTAAGATGGTGCCAAAGGAACATCACCGTCCAAAAAAGGAAAATTAACAATAGGGAACGAAAAAATCGTCCCTTTTGTCGTAAATTTTAGTGCAGAGTTTCCCGTGTAAAACTGAAATATCTAAATCTAGGAAAGGACAGTTATTACCGTTTATATTTGATTTATTTAAAGAAAGTTCCTTTGGGTTAATTTCGGCAGGATATTTAGAAAATTCTTGATTATTTAAAGAAAAAATATCATCAAGATAACGGTAAGTGTTGTTGAATTTATCAATTAAATGCAATTTAGACGGGTATTTTCTAAATTTGGTCATAAACTGTAATTCATAACAGTGCAAGAACAAGTCTGCTATTAAAGGGGCGCAATTGGTGCCCATATGAATACCTACAACCTGTCGATAAACTGTATTGCCGAAACGTACATAAATATAATTATGAAGAAAATTAACAGCTTCAATCATCTCATCTCACCTCCAGTAAGCATATCTAGCATATTTACCTTTCTCATTAGAGAAGTAGGCTTTAAATGAGTTGCAGCAAATATATTTGCATTCAGATTTACCAAATGACCAAATGATTAATTAGGAAAACTTTTGTTTGATAAGATTGTGTGGAAGTGTAGTGTAAAGAGTTAAAAAGTCAAACTGTCAACAGAATCAAAAGGATCATCAAAAGCACGTAATTTATCTAAAACATCCAAAAAGATTTTTACACTCTTAATACCACTATTCTCATATGTCTTATTACAAAAGTTAATGATAAGTTCTTTGATAGTAGTTAAGGAACTAGTTGAAAGCACTGAAAGATAAGTTGTAGAACACTTACTAGAGGCCAAGACGAAACAATATTTTACTGGTTTTTTGTGTAGTTTAGGTAATCGATACAAAGTAGGGACCTTCAAATATTCAGAAGAGGCATTAGGCTGTGATGTTGTTATGATATGTTTGTTTACTATATGACTCTCTGTAGAGCGCACAGACTTGAATGTAGAAGAATTTAAAATTTCATTCTTAAGAACGTCCGTGTAGAATTTACGGCATACCACCACCACATTGTTGGCTGCTTTGTCGGCCGGTACAAACACAAGCCGCTTTGAAAGTACTTGAAGTTTGTTTCTTATTCTAGAAATAGTCGTATTATGTACTCTTTTATTTATTTCTGAATTATTTTCAAAATGTGATATTTAAATATCCACAACATTCATACATTTATTTAAATAAGAATCAAGATTTTTATCAGATTTTCCCCGTTTACACCAATGTTTACAATACGATGAAAGAGCATCTTTTGTGACCTGACGACACTGTTTCCAATCTATTTTAGATGGAGGACGATATTTTGGTCCTTTTTTCAAAAAGTGTTTAACCTCTCGGTCATGAGCGATATTGAGGTCCCCCGTAATAAGATGGCCATAGGGATCATATCTAAAATTCGACGATTCACGGTCTCAAGTTAGAGGAGTATTATTTTCTACATTGACGTCTGATGTTGCTGACGTATAATTAAAAATTAAACTTCTGCTGGGTTGTTTGTATGTGTACGAAATAATAGGTGGTTCTGTGTTATCAAAATAGGGAGGTATAAAGCTTTGAATGGTAGAGTCATAAAATATACTCGATGGGTTGATGAAATAAATACCTCTGTTAATATATTTAATTTTCAGAAAGTGCCGTTTATGATCTTCAGGTTTATCGATACGCGGGTACAACCTACGGTGGCAAAAGCCTGTAATTATACGCGAATATTAATAGAGTGGACTGAAGAACGAGATTGTGTCACACTCCTATCATGTAATTTGGTATTTGACCCAGTTTACATAATAATTGATGTCTACCATTGTTTTTAAATATAGATAGATCAGCAAGTGTATAATTTATACGATGTTTAATTCGTTGATTTCGATTGATACGTTTGCCATGAGACCTACTATTACGTTGTCTTTTGTCAACAATATTCATGATATCAATAGAAGAAGTTTTAGATATGTTCCCTTGTCTCAGTATATTGTCATTTAGACCCAGGGGATATGCTGTCTGCAATCGTTTAATCCAAGACAGTTCGATAATTTTACGGGAATCTTCAAATTGTTTATGCGATTGCCCTTGTTGTTTCTGGATCGTTTCGAGTGGTTGGAATCTTATAAATTTAATATCGTGATCGTGTTTACCTAAATGTTGTTAAATTATACTTTTGAATTTCTTAGGTTTTCGGAAGCGGTATAGATGTTCCTGTGTTCGTCTAAAGAATTCCCGTCCCGTTTGTCCTACATATTCTATACCACACTTTGGCTTTGTTCAAGTAACCAGATAAATGAGGCTTTGAGTTTTTCATGTAATGTCACAGGAAAAGGAAAGTGAAAACACTCCCGTTCACTGTTGACCTAACAGTGTTATTAGAAGATAACCAGTCGTTTTCTGACATTGCACGGGAATATTTGTGGATATCCACGTGCATTTTTATTTAATGATCTGGCTGCAGCAGCATTGCCACCTTTGACACAATTGTAAAAAGTGCTAAATTGAGAAGGGGAATTTCGATTGACGGCGGTTGAATTTATATTTGGAGTGAAGTTTTTTTAGCACGTGAATATCCTTGAAGGAGTGTTTTATTTTGTTTTCTTGTCATTTCGTAAAATCATGATTAAGTAAGGGTAATGAGAAAAATTAAATGAGGCCGAAAGTCGTCACATTGAATAAGGATTACAATAACGGAATATATAAACAATGTATATAGCAGTCGAAGAATTCTACAGAATGACGTTAGTAAAACAACACAGACGTATGACAAACACTGGTCCGAGAATATAGTTATATCGTTGTGCATTTATTAAAGGCAGAAAACGCAAATTTAAAAAATCGCACCTGCTCTATCCAAAAAATATTTTTACAGTGTATAGTAGTATATTCGTTCTTTTTCAAAACAGATTTCTAGTAAGAGTACATTTACGTTCTTTATTTTACCACTATAGTCCATTAAACTCACTAATTTAATTAAAACCCGCATGAATAAAAAAAAAAAAAAACAGCCTCGTTTTTATTTCTTTTTATTCGTATTAGATATGGCCTATACAAAAAAAATCATATTTTCATTCAATGTTAATAATACTAAGATGTTAATGTTAGTGAAATATATTTGTGAGGTTAGACTGTAGTTAATTCAAACACTAGAGACGCCCAGGATGCTGAAGTGTTTACACTTGACATGGCAAAAATATGCAACATTAAAATTACTACCCCAAATATCAGTCATCTTTTCGACACTGTAAAGTGTTGATCCTGACACACTTAACAAAAAAGGTACGGTTATTTATTGACAATAACCCTTATAATGAGTCAATTGAGTATTTAAATCATTAAATGTTCTTGTAGATTTTATTGCTGTTTACAGTTTCTCTCTGTTATAGCTTTAACGCTAAATTAATAAAGCAAAATAAAACCCGCAAAATGAGTAAAAATTAACCATTCAAAGATTATAACTCGTTGATTGTTTTTGCTGCTTAATCAATCAACCCAAAATCGATTTTTCGATGCATTTTTATAGCAAATCCCAATAAAACAATA